AAAAAAAAAATATATATATATATATATATATATATATATATATATATATATATGCAAGTACGTGGAAAATTGCAACCCGTTTAAAGAGTTCTGACTCCACCTCCAGATGCTGTTACCCAATGGCAGTTCTGAAAGGCAGATAAACATGCAGGCATGTCTTTTAGGGTGTCTAGTATCTGATGGCCCATCATGAAGCCTGTTAAAGCAGATTAAGCATTTCAAAGAAGATTTAAAAATGCATAACTAATCATGGAAAACACAATATGTTGTTTTCTTACACACATTTATCATTAGTCTTTATATCTGTTTTTTTTTTTTTTTTATTGCAACAAAAACTGTAGGGGGTACTGACCACTTACCTCTATGGACCAGCCACCATAAATAGCAGAATGTGGAATTACATGGGAATATACTAAATGCTACAGGACGATTTAGTGAAGCTGTGTTGATGATAGACTCTAGTTATATTCAAAGCATTGTAGTATAATTTAACAACATTAAATCTCAATTAACGTGTTATGGGGGACAAGAGAACTTACCTTTAGAAGATAAACTGACATAATACAATAGTACATGAATAATTTAAATTAAAATATCTTAGTTGGAAACGTACATTTTTAACCGAAATTAAGCAACTTGTTATTTAGCTAAAACCATCTGGCTGTTTGGTGAAAAACCTTTGTTGGCTGCAACCCTGTTGAACAATGTTTGTATGATACACACATTGGGTATTTAGAAACATGCAAACATTGTCTTTCAAGACATATTTTGCATTATTACAGTGTCAACTGATAGGTATTTAACTCCCAACATTTGTTACATATTTTTATGTGTGAATTGACGTATGTACCATTTCAAGTTGCCTATCTTAACAGGCAGTAGTGTGATGTAATTGTAATGTCTAAGGGTCTATGGGTCTAACAGTGTATAAATTATTATCCAGAATTGCTTAAGCATTATTATACAATTCATATTGTGGCCAAAAATAACATCTGCAAGATCTTTGTTTGAAAAGTTGTTTTTTGTCATTCACTATATGACACATCCTTTTAGAATGTTACAAAATTACACTTGGACTATAAGTAACCTATTTGGGGAATCTAAGAAAACTCCTGTGTGTCTAGGTGTCAAATTCTAAGCTATAGTGTATCTCAGTTCTAAGTCAAAGCAGTAGACTTCTTCGCTTTGTCAGTATATTGCATAACATGGTATGGCCTTGCTATAAGAAGACCTCATGAAAAATCAGTTCAGCAATGAAGATCCAACCCATGCACTCGTTCTGACATCCTCTATTATCTGATGTTAAGTTCTTCATAATATGGTCTCTAAAGACATAGAAACATAGAATGTGACGGCAGGTGGTGTGATAGCCTTATCTTATAGTTAGGATAGCCTTATGCCTATCCCATGCATGCTTAAACTCCTTTACTGTGTTAAATATACTTTGTAGTTTGTTTCTGAATTTGAAACGGGTTGAGTAGAATACGAGTAATGAAAATTTTCCAAGAGATCAATAATATTTGGGATTGTTAAAACCATCAGTGTCATTTGAGGACACCATTTACCACAAGACCTTGTGTTATTTTAGTTCAAGGTAAATTAATTTGAGAATTTAGCTGGTATGGGGAAAGGTTTGGCATTTGGTCTCTAAAAACGTTATGTTAAATTAAGTGGAAGATAAATGGACTGGAGTGTTTAGCCAGCATGGGGAATGGTTCTGCATTATAGGGTAGAGCTTGAGAAAGAGCCTTACATGTTTGGAAAACTGATTCTATTTTCTTTTTATTCTTGAGATGGTCTGTAGTTTAGATGAATTATGCACGTGTTTTTGAAATAAAGTTTGGAGATGTCTGAGTGTAGGGGGAAGGGGAGTGTGTGATATAAACAGGCCTGAAACATATCTTCTTTGGCCAGTTGCCTATGTGTTATTTATATTTTCCTGTTTAACAATTTTAGTAACTGTGGAGAAGCAAGTGAGTGATGTGTAGAAATCAGTCTATATGACTATCTAAGTGTTGCCTAAGGGTTCAGATATTCTAGATGAACTGTGCAATTTGTATAGATTTTCCACTTTTGACCAGTTATATTCCTCATCTCTAACTTTAAGTCTATAAAATATATGTACATACTATGGATAGTCAGTCACTTATGAATCTCCATGTGGACACGTGTTGCTGTGCTCTGACCAAACTTGTTCTTTTGAAGAACATAGCGCTCCTTCATTCATAATAAAAATAATAATGAAAAAAAACTAAGGAAAAATCAACAAGACATGACATGTTGAACATCAAAAACCACTGCAGCCTGCTTAGCAACGTTTAGCAATGGTTTACCCCCATACCTGGGTTCCCACTGGGTTTGAATACTCCTTAATGGTCCAGTGACATGCGTACAGCTTCATAGAGCCACACAAGATAGAAACCACAGTCATCATCATTCATTGGCTAAGCGTACCAGCTTACCGTACTTAGTCAATGGCTGAAATGTTGAGGAAAAAACAAGGCGCAAGAGTGTACTGAGAATGGACAGCAGATGACATAGCCTACCCTTCTGTGGGGCCTTGCTCAGATCTCAAGCTGGTTTTAGCTCATCTTGTGCCATTACAGAAGGAACATATCTGAAGCATATCAGACTGGTCCCACCCGTACTGGCAGTCCAGATCCCAAATGCCAGCAAGTTCCCTCTGCACGAGAGATATAGCAACCCCAGATGATCGTTTTAACCTTGTTAGGCATCATCAGTGGATGAAATGTCTTTCAATAGAAGTTGGAAGTTACATTTTGTAAGTGCAGTGTTTCATATTAAAATACACTGAAGTGCTTGTAGTAACCCTTCAAACGGTTCATTTCTTCATGCAAAGTATGGAGTATACAGTATAATGAAAATTACTGCACCTCATTGGTATACATTTTATGCCATCAAAATACAATAATTGTTTATAGCACCAAAACATTTTGAATAATTAGTCATATTTGTCATTTTAAAAAATAATTAGTTATTCTTGACCATTTACCAAAATGTAACAACTGAATAAAGAGGTAATAATAATAATAATCCTAATATTTTAGCTTTCCATGAGAAAAAAAAACATATTGTATTAATTATATTGCACTAAAATGATTTAACATATTATAGCAGCCATTTAAAAAAAAAAATAATGAAAAGAGCATCTGATAACAACTTGCTAATGCCAGAAGACAATAACCATTTTATATAAGATTCTATTTGGGCCAAGGAGGAATAATGATTTATATCCAGTAAAAGTGTTCAGTGATTAAGTCCTTATGATGAACAATTGAAATCAGATTAGCACATTCACAGTTCCAGTCTATCTATGAAACATTGGACCACATTTGCATTTTCTCTGTGTAATGTTTTGTATTCTATTAAATAGAAAATATTAGGTCTCTTGTGGGATAGAATACATATTTGATTTATTGGATTAGAGGTGAGTTATGAAAAGCCAGGCAAATGATTTAGAATTTGATTTGCCACTATATTATTATTATTTTTTTAAAGATATATAGAGAGAGACAGATTATTTTGTAGATTGAGCACCAGATTGGTTCTTTTTAATAGTATAATGGCATTTGTACACGAAAACATCATTATTTATTTTCTCACAAGCTGCGTTCTTGCTCAGCCATGTTGCTCCGACATATGAGATTTTGTGATGCACATAGCTCTCATGTCATTATGTGTTGGAACTACAGGGCTCACTAAAGTCGCAATAACGACAAGGCCCACTTTGCTCTGCTAGGAGGTGGTCACCTTAGGGCCACCCAAGATGGGCTCCTAAAGTAGGCATCAGGTACCTACTCTGCCAAAATCTCCAGGGGTGGCGGTGAAGGAGTGCTGTTGTCCCTGCTCTTTTTCACTGCTCCCTTGTGAGCTCTGCAGTGATGCGGGACCCGGGACATGATATTACTCCAGCACCGGCATCACTTTATGGCGCACAAGGGAGCAGTGAGGAAAATGATAAAGTTTAAGGCAGCCACTAGACCGAGGGAAAAGATCCCCACTGGACGCTAGGGAGCAGACCCACACCCAAGGATAGGGAGCCTGGATGGCTGTCAGGAAAAATAAGAAAAACAATAAATAAAACTAATTTGTGAGCGAATGTGTTTATGTGTGACTGTGTCAGTATCAGTGAATGTGTGCTGTTTAAATTAGCTATTGTTTGCAAATAAGCATAGGCCTACCCAGGTGTTAAACATTCCTAGTGGGTGGTGCTTTTAAGAGTTATATAAGGGTTGTGGTCATTAGCTTGGCTAATAAACTTGGTTGCTGCTTCAAAATGTGTGCTTGGAGATATTCTGGGGATAAACTGGAGATAGTATGAAGTATACAGGAGGTGAAAAAAAGTAAGATTTGATTTGTTTGATTTAAATTATTCACCTCGTTAAAATGGCAGACTTAGTTCAGTGTAATAGTTGTTATGCATTTGTTTCATGCTCCACTTTTTGGAGATTTGGATGCTGTCTCATCTGTAGACAGTTCTCTATGTTGCGTCAGGAGATTGTATTTTTGAAGTCTGAGATTTGTAAATTATCCGCTAAAAACAAACTCTGGAACTGGAATTGTTGCAAAGCCACTGCCGCAGAGATGTCCTAGGAATGGCAAATGGATTACTGTAGGATCTGGTAGACTTAGAGATGTCAAGGTCAAGATTCCTATCCCCTATTTGTCTCCAAACCCCCAAAAAACCCAAAACAGTAAATATGGCAGTAAGGATTATGGCAGTTAGGAAAGCCCCGTGCCTTTCATAGCAATGCATTGAAGGAGCAAATCAG